AAAAGGGAATAGAGTTGTTGGATGCAGGTGGATATTCACAGTCAAATATCATTCGGATGGGAGTGTGGAAAGATACAAGGCAAGACTGGTTGCTAAAGGTTTTTCTCAGTCCTATGACATCGACTACCAGTAGACTTTTGCACCCGTTGCAAAATTGAATACCATCAGAATATTGTTATCAGTAGTTGTTAACATGGACTGGAAATTGCATCAGCTGTACATAAAGAATGCTTTTCTGAATGGGAACCTTGAAGAAGAGGTATACATGGAGGTCCCCCCCGGATTAGAAGCAAAGGTCACTAAGAAAACTGTGTGCAAGCTCAATAAATCCTTATATGGCTTAAAACAGTCTCCCAGGGCTTGGTTTGATCGATTTGCTAAGGCTATGACACAGAATGGTTTCAAACAAAGCCAAGCGGATCACACATTATTCAGAAAAATTACACCGAGTGGTAAGATAACCCTCCTAATTGTCTATGTAGATGATATGATTATAACTGGCAGTAATATAGAAGAAATAGAAAAACTAAAGATGAATCTTGTAAAGGAGTTTGAAACCAAGGATTTAGGGAGTATGAGGTATTTCCTGGGTATGGAAGTTGCAAGGTCCGAGGAAGGGCTGGTCATAAACCAGCGTAAATATGTTTTGGATCTTCTTGCAGAAACTGGGATGCTCGACTGCAAACCAGTTGAAACTCCAATGGAGCCAGGCTTAAAATTTTGCAAGGAAATGACTGGAAATCCAGTGAACAAGGAAACCTACCAAAGGTTAGTTGGGAAGTTAATCTACCTTTCACTGATCAGGCCTGATATTGCATACTCAGAGAGCATTGTCAGCCAACATATGAGTGATCCTCGAGAAGAACATTTGGAAGTTGTTAACAGAATTTTAAGGTTCTTGAAATTTACCCCAGGAGCTGAACTTATATTTAGAAAAAAAAACAAGACAGAACAATGAAGGTTTATACGGATGCAAGCTGGGGAGGTGAATTAACTGATAGAAGGTTAGTTAGTGGCTACTGTACCTACGTTTGGGGTAATTTGGTTGGAATATATGGTTTTCTGGTGTGTTTGGCCATTTGACAAATTTCACAGGAAAACAAAGATGGATCTTTATTAATGAATAAGTTCGGTAACATTTTGGAAAGATAGAAAAAATTAGGATGGCCTAATCTAGAATGCCATAACATAATTTTATTGGTATTGAGATCAGAAGATAAAATTGGTTTCCTAAGAGCACTGGATAAGGCATGATTATGAGATACTTTACCTCCAAGGGTGTACAATCCTTTGCCCAGCCTAGCACTGCCAATCACCCTCTTCGAGCCATGTGCCTGAAAAATGCAACCACCTGTACCAAACACAACATTACAACCAAAATATTTAATTAATTTTCTAACTGACAACAGATTGCATGAAAGTCTAGGAACATAGAGGACATTATGAAGTAGTAGATTTTTGTTTAATGTAACAGAACCACTCCCTTTGATTGTAGTAAGAGAGCCATCTGTTATTTTGATAGAAGCTGGTAAGCTGCTTTCACTATATTCCTCCAAGAGATCAATATTTCCTTTCATATGATCTGATGCACCCGAGTCTATTATCCATTGTACCGAGGAAGCATATGGATTATTTTTATTAGTAGTAGTATAAGTCACATTTGTAGGCTTGGCTGTCATACTGCTCAAAATCTGTTGCAGTTCCTCTATCTGTTTCTTGCTAAAACTGCTTGAGGAATCATCTTGAGAGGCAATATGAGGCTCCTTTTGAAACTTGGACCGTGTGGGCTACCAATCGATTGGTTTTCTGTGCAGCTACCAACATTGATCTATCATATGGCCTGGCTTCTTACAATGTTCACACCAAAGGCGATTTTTCCTCTGTTACTTTGAAAATTTGAAATTTGAAATCTAAAAATCAGATTGAGAGGGGCTGGTCTGGGAAGTGATTTCGGATGTTGAGGGATCCGTATTAGCCATGAAAAAAAATAGAGTTGAATAGGAATTGATTTAAAGAGAAGCGGAAATCAGATTGATCGCTCTAACCTGATACCATGTAGAAAACAGACTGTATAGAAAACAGACTGTAGAAAACAGACAAGTCTGTTATTTTTATTCTTGTGTACATTCAGTAGAACATATTACATATTTATATACAAATTATGCCTCTAAACTAGAAAACTCTAAGAAAGGAAACTAATCCTAGGAGATGTAATCCCTTGAAATAAGGGATTGAAAAACAGAAAATACTTACAAAATCTCTTAACTTAAGGGATTGACAACTCATTTCTATAATTCCTACATCACCATCAAATACCATGCAGATGGCTCGATCGAGAGATACAAAGCAAGACTCGTAGCACGAGGCTTCACTCAGACATACGACCTTGACTGCGAGGAAACCTTTGCTCCTGTGGCCAAACTAAACACCGTACGTATCCTACTCTCACTAGCCGCCAATCTGGATTGGACTCTCAGATAGTTTGATGTGAAGAATGCGTTCCTAAATGGTGAGCTAGAAGAAGAGGTGTTTATGGAAGTTACTCCAGGCTTTGATGAATTGAAGAAGGATGGCAGGGCTTCAAGCTAAAAAAATCCATTTATGGATTGAAACAATCTCCGAGAGCCTGGTTCGAGAGATTCACGAGAGCTGTGAAACAACATGGTTACACTCAGGCCCAGTCCGATCATACTATGTTCTGTAAACACAATAATGGTAAAATTTTTATTTTAATTGTGTATGTAGATGACATTGTTATGACAGGAGATGTCACAGTAGAGTTGGAGTCGCTGAAGAACTTATCCAACCAGTTTGAAGTCAAGGATCTAGGACAACTCAAATATTTCCTTGGAATGGAGGTGGCTAGATCCTCAAAAGGTATAATTATCTCACAAAGGAAATATGTCCTCGATATCTTGAAAGAGACCGGATTACTCGGATGTAAACCAGTGGCGACTCCTATTGATCTGAATCAAAAACTCGAAAAAGAAAATGGTGTTGAGCCTGTGGACAAGAATCAGTATCAGAAGTTGGTGGGGAAACTGATTTATTTGGCTCATACGAGACCAGATATTGCATTTGCTGTGAGCTTGGTTAGTCAGTTTATGCATTGTCCCTCAGAAAAACACTTCAAGGCTGTTTACTGGATTCTTCATTACTTGAAAGGGAGTCCAGGTAAAGGAATCATGTTTTCGAAGAATGGAAGTCGAAGAGTGGAGATCTTCACTGATGCTGATTGGAGCGGAAGTTCTACAGACAGAAGATCTACAACCGGTTATTGCTCCTTTGTCTGGGGCAACTTAGTTACTTGGAGAAGCAAGAAGCAACCAGTTGTCTCTAGAAGCAGTGTGGAGGCCGAGTTCAGAGCCATGGCACAAGGAGTATGTGAGTTGTTATGGCTTAGGAGAATCTTGGAGGAGCTGAAGGTTGAAGGAGATAAACCGATGAAGTTATATTGCGACAAAAAATCGGCAATCAGTATTGCTTAGAATCCTGTACAGCATGACAGAACCAAACATGTTGAAATAGATCGACATTTCATCAAGGAGAGGCTGGAAAATGGCGATATCTGCATACCATTTGTTCCATCATCAGAGCAGCTCGACGATGTTCTCACCAAGGGACTGTTTACTACGATGTTCAAAGGATTTCTGTCCAAGCTGGGAATGATCGATATCTATTCTCCAACTTGAGGGGGGTGTCGAGAATATCTAAATTAAATATTAGGATTGTTAACTAGATATTTTATTCTGTTAGTTATTAGATAGGATCAGTTTTAATTAGATAGAATCAGTTTTTTATTATGTTAGTTATTAGATAGGATCAGTTTTAATTAGATAGAATCAGTTTTATTCTGTTGCTAATTTTATGCATCTTTTTATGTAAAGTTGTTACATTGTAAACTCTATTGAAGTCAACCATATTCGGAAGAAATAAAATAGATTCATTCAGAACAAGTTTTTTTCGACTTTACAAAGGACTCTTTCTGATACTCGATCAAGGTTGAGTAATGATGCCCAGGGGTTCAGGTAGGTCCATTGCTTCGAGATTTGTGGGGATAAGGGGCTTGCATTATTATGGTGATGGTAGTAGTAGGCTTTGTCAGTATTCTGTTACTACTATAACATAATTAATCAACTGGAAATGTTTTCTTCTTTGTTTTTTTGCTATGATGTGGAGGATATACTAAATAAGATGTCAGGCTTTTATTTATGCCTCTGATGTTCTTTTTGTTTCCCATTCGAGTTGTATATTTGTTTTTGAGTTTCTTATTCTATTTTGAGCATGGTGTTAAGGATATTTCCAGGGTGAGTAACAATAAATTTTTGGCAACCCTTTGTTGTTTCTTTCATGTTCATTTATTTGTTGTACCCACATTATATCATTCGATGCTATATTGCCCTTTTTTGGCATGCTGGTTTGGTTGAGATCTAAATCTTCTGAATGCCTGATATGGGGGTTTAGATTAGGATGAGGTGCTTACTGCATAAGACGTCTAAACTATTGCCTTATAGGAGCATTTACGGTTACGAAAATGTAGAGCCACTACATTTTGTAAACTGTGATTTTGAACTGAATGGTAAATCATATGATTTGATTCATCCTGAAAATAATGTTTGAGAGTTAGAATACTTTAGTATTGATTTAACCTTATCTTCTTACTAAGATCCATACACATGATTTTTGGACACATAAAGAATGAATGTTTATTGGGGGTTTGGGGCCACTGCTAGTGAAATGTAACTTCCTTAATAGATGATCATAATGGTGGCTATGCAGAAATTGTGTGAGGGGATTTCTTGTTTGAAAGTTGCTTCAAGCTTTCTATTTGTAGCATTTCGTGAACTGAACCTTTATATTTATTTTTAACATTTTGATGTATCATATTCTTGATTTTCTATTGTCAAAATGAGCTGATTCAATTGATTTTTTACAATAGAAATTTTACACTTGATATATAGACATAGTAAGAGAAGTCAAAAAGCTAGTGAGAGAAGGTCCCGTCTCTCTCTTGGTGTATTTTTTTTTCAAACTCGATTCCCTCTCCCTTCTATCTAGGTTGGGAATTTCAGTGGTCGTATCACCGTTATCACCTTTCGTTGTCCACTGTCACCATTCGCCGTCCGTCGCCGCACTCCGATCTTCGTTCGACGCCGTTTTTCTTAGGGAATATCATTTGTTTATGAAGATTCCAAATCTGAGCTTAGATTTGCGATAAATTCTTTCAATCGACGCAGATCTTAACTCTATTCACTACCAATTTTTATCGCCAACTGCCGTCCGTGTTTAGCACCGTCTCACATCCAAGCTCTGCGTCTTTTGGTGATCACAACCCCCTTATCATAGAGTCGAGTTTCGTTGCTGCTCTCCGAGACTACTATTTCTTTTAAAACCTGGTCTCGCAGACACCTATGTGAAACATCATCGTCTTTGGTTTTGTCGAGTCGATTGTGCTTGCAGTCTGCTCAAGGTTTTTGAGAAATAGGGAAAGGACTCAAAATTGAAGGAAGCCAAGGGAAAAGGCAAGCAAGCTGGAGGTGGAAGTGATGAAACTGCTTCAAAGGGTAAAGGGAAAGACATGAAGGGAGATGGCATTGGCACTTGCACTTATGTTAAAGCGAGGCACATCTTGTGCGAGAAGCAAGGGAAGATAAATGAAGCGTACAAGAAGCTACAAGATGGTTGGCTTAGCAACGATGATAAGGTCCCACCGACTAAATTTGCAAAGAAATATATGGAGACTGAGAGCACTAAAGGGATTTTTCCATTACCACAGCTTCCTTCGCAAAATTATGGAATTACGAAATCTATATCCCTCGCGGGATCGTCTCGGATCCGAGGTATGGTGGTCTCAGGGAGTTTTTACGCCCACTCACCTTTGGGTTTAGCCAAACGAGAGGGAAGACTAAGGTTAAAGGCTCCGTCCGAGAACTTTGCTTCAAGGTCGGCAGCTACAAGCCGATTACAGTTTCTACAATCTCAACAAAGTAACAAAATTTGTGTTGACTATAAAAATAAAAATCCACAGTGGGCTTTGGTAACCTACGGTGTTTTCATGTGCTCAGAATGTTCCTGCAAACACCAAGGCTTAGGTATACATATCTCGTTCGTTCAATCTGTTAACATGAACTCTTGGTCAGACATCCAGATTAAGAAAATGGAATCAAGTACCAATGACAAGCTCAACTCTTTTTTGGCACAATATGGTATTCCCAAAGAAATTGATATCGCTATCAAGTATAACACTATTGTTGCGAGTATTTATCGTGATCGTATGCAAGCTCTCGCCGAAGGCCGTGTATGGAAGAATCCACCAGTTATGAAGGAATCTGTCAATGGTGATTCTGGTGGTAATCAGAAGCAATCGGCAAGTGCTTTTAGATCAGGAAATTATCAAGGTTGTATAATGGGAGGTATTATGGTGAAGTCGAGGTCAAGTGAGGACAAGCATACCAGATCCCGATTGGATGTTTCGTCGACAAATAAGGAGACTTTTTTGGCCAGCAGAAAGGCGGACAATAAATTTAGGCCTGAAGGTTTGCCTCCTTCACAACGAAGAAATTATGGGATTGGGAAGCGAGCTTTAGTAGAGGCATCAGCAGCTCAACCTGCCGAATATGTTGTCCACGCTAGAATCAAGGAGTTTAGCACAAAGGGGTGTAGTGGTAACAACTCTGATGAAGGAGCAAGAACTGAGAGATTCGAATTTAATAATTGGTGGAAGGAAGGCCATACAAATGTTAGTAATGGGTACAGAAGTGGATGCTTCACGTTATTCATTAAAAACCTACCAGAGAAGATCCATTGGAAGAGACTTGGATCTTTATTTTGCACTCACGGTCATGTTATTGATGCCTTCATTCCTAACAAAAGAAATTCGAAAGGGGTTCGTTTTGGGTTCATTCGCTTTGCAACAATTGAAGAATCAAGGAAAGCGATATCAAAGATGAATGGTGCTCATATTTACGACAGCAAAATTAGAGTCTCTTTGGCTAAATATAAACCTCGACAATCTTATTGGAGAAAGTCTTCGACATTTGTTTAACGTAAGTCTGAGATGGAAGATGTTTCGAGTAATAAACAATGTGAAGTTGAGGGTTTTGTAGATGAAGATAAACTTCACGTGTTGAGTAACTGTCTTGTGGGGTGGTGCAAGAACTTTACCAAAATCGGTGATCTTGCTAACCAAATGCAAGCCAAAGGACTAGCTGGTTTCACGCTAATGAGAGCTACTGGAAATGTAGTTCTAGTGGTTTTTGAAGACTATGATTCGTTGAGAAGCGTAAAGGATGATAAATTAAAGACTCTTGCAAAATGGTTTTCTAGAGTTGAAACTTGGTCAGAGAGTCTGGTGGTGGAGTGTCGTCGCTTGTGGTTAGTTTGCGAAGGTGTTCCTTTTCACGCTTGGAATTGAGATACTTTCAAAAACATTACAGTTAAGTAGGGAAAATTATTAGCAATTGACAACAGCTGTGAGTTTCCATCGTCCTTTGATCGAGCTAAAATTCAAATACTCACAAAGGCTCAAGTGAGAATTGATGAGTTGATGGAGTTGAAAGTCGGTGCTAATTTATTCAAAATCATGGTGCATGAAGTTGATCCTTCCTTCAAACCAAATTCTTGGGTCCCTGAAGATTGCGATATTTCATTAGAACTTGTTCCTTCAATTGGATCGTAACTGTTCGGCAGCTGTATTCAGAAGCGTTTCTTTTAGTTTTTTTGTTGTTGCAAGTGTTGGTTTTTATTTTGTTATGTTCTTTTGCAACTTGAGGCGTTTCTTCTCATTATCTTGAAGGGCTTGTTTACTCCGACTATTGTTACGCTTGTCTTGTCCTTTTTTTGGGTTTCAGCCTTGACATTAAGTTTGTCAATGTGTTTAACTTCGTATTTCACTCTTTTTCAGCCTTTCATAACACAGATGGATGATGATGAAATCTGTGAGGAAATTAGTAAGCTAGAGGAGAAGCTCAATGAACAGGTAGTTTCTCAAAGGAATTATCGACTCCAATATGCAATCTTGTATCTACATTTTCTTTTTTCTTCACACTTTACAGTGAAGGTTTCATTCTTTATTTTATGATAATTGCCTTTGGATATAAACGAATTGCGTCCTTTTTCTATGCTTCACTGATATTTTTGTTGTTGGGCTGTCCATCATAAAGTTCAGAACTTGTTCTGAGAAGTTCATTTTTATAATTTTTTGTTTTTTTTAATGCAATAGGTTTCAAGGAAGAAAGTCTTGCTTGATAATCTGTTGAAAACTGTCTCAGAAACAAGAACACTTCAGGAGAAGTATTATTTCATCCTTTCTCTCCATATAGTTTTGAATTCATTTTCCTTTGAACATAGTCATTGGTGCCTAGCGTATGTATAAACATATCATTTTTTTTTATAAATAAAAGATATCATTTTTTATATAGGGAATTTGAACAAAATGCTCTTGACAAGCTTGTCACGATGGCTTATGAAAAGTACATGGTAATTCTTTTAATATCCAGTCTCCTGTTTGTTTGTTTGTTTTTTTTTTTTTTTGCACACATATAATGACAATGTTAAATATCTTGAATGCACAGAACCAAGTCTGTATGAAAGCACTTCAATACAAGGATATAGAAACCAGTCTTTAGTCTAGAATAAAGTCCAAGGATTTCAAGGAAATAATTGTCTGGGTGGATTAAAACTAACAAAGTAAGAAAGAAAAGATGGAAATTGGTGGGATGACAATATTGTTAACCTCCACCAACTCAAAGTTGATAAAAATCTTCTATATCACAGGAGTGAACTACCTCCTATAACGTAGTTCAAACTCCTTATAGTATTCAAATAGTGAAGAGACAACATCTCAAGATGATCCCTGAGATTTCTTTTGGCTGTTATCTGAGTTCAAGTGGATAATGCTTCTCCAGTTATTGTTATCTGATATCTGGAATTTGTGTCAACCATGAGTATAACGTGGTTGAAAAACCAAGGTTTTGGTACTTTCTTCTCCCTCTTCCTGGTATACACATTTAGATGTTCTCGTTATTTTTTTCACCTTTTGAGTCTTGGGGGTTTAGATTTTTCTAAAAGCATTTTGAAGAATTTAGCCATCAGAACTTTAGCTGATAAATCTTATGTTTTTCTCCCTACTAGAGCTTCTTACTAAGGCGGATAAATTTGCTTTGTTCTCTCTGTTTATGTTACAGCTTTTAATTTTCAATTGAAAATTTTATGCTAACAAAGTTGGACTGTTGATTATCCCAGTTATCATGCTATGTACCGACTTATTATGATATCATGCTGGTATTATATTTTTAATAATTTATTAATAATCTTTTCATATAGTTGTTGGGGTCCTAATGCTTCTGGTGGGAAGAGTTCCGGTAACAAAATGATGAAGCAAGCTGCATTAGCATTTGTTAAACGGACATTAGATCGATATCATAAATTTGAAGATACAGGCCAGAGCTTCTTTGATGAGCCCATGCTTAGGGACATTTTTCTTTCTGGATATTCCCGGCTAAATAGTGCATGATTAGTAGATACTCCTACACACACTGAAACTGGGAAGCCATGTGCCAACAGCTCCACCCGTTCTCTGGAAGGTAGAACTTCAAGTATATACTTTGATGCTTATGGAGAGACTGAGAGCAGACATTTTAATTCCCTCATGTCTAATTGCGTCTGTTCATGTGTTTTTGGTCCATGTAATGTGATCCTCTGTAAAATGTTATTTATTGATACCTTTATACTCTGTCTTCTCACACAACTATTCTGGCAGGTCAAAATGGGGATAGTTATGCTGTTGATCTGCTTCCACCCACAAATCGGTTATCCGACCAAACTACTGTCAAAGATGACTCATGGTCTAACAGCGCAAAAAAGAGAGAGTTATTGCTGGAGGATGTAGTTGGTGGTACTATTGGTGCTTCTGTTGCCCAGCCAGGCATTGGAAGTCCTTTGTCGAGCATTACAAAAGGAAAGAGAAGTGAGAGAGACCGAGAGGGAAAGGGACTTGGTAGGGAGGTTTTATCTAGAAATGGGACTAATAAGATTGGTCGAAACCAATATCCAATGTTAAGGGAGAAAGGAAAATAAAAATAAAGCCCAAGCAGAAAACAACTCAACTATTTGTTTCTGTGAATGGCATTCTTGGCGAGATGTTGGAGCAACCCAAACTATCAACCTCCATATCTAAGTCAAATGAGATAACTACTGATGATAATGCCAACGAAAAAGATGATTTTGGTCTTGATGTGTTGGATGACTTGCAGCTACCAGGAAAAGATTTGGGTTCATGGTTAAACATTGATGATGACGGATTACAAGATCACGACTTCATGGGACTTGAAATTCCCATGGATGATCTTTCTGACTTGAATATGATGGTTTGAGTTCCTTCTGTGTATAGTCTTGTTCATTATACCGTTGACAAACAAAAAGATAATCATTGTCAGCAAGAGATTACTGTTTTGTGGATAGTTGTTTGACTGTCTGGTCCATAATTAGGTTACATAGATTCTTTATAGGCTCCTCCCGAAGTTGATTTTCTAGTGAACCCATTTGGATGTCTTGAATTTTTCTCTTAAGTTGATGACTTCGACTGTAGAGATATTTTTTCCCTAGAAGTTAGTAGGTCTTAGCGAAATTGTATCCTGGCTGTAGCCTTTACAAATCAGAGAGTAATGCTGAGGTTGTACATACATTTATATTCCCAATAAAATAGTTTTTTTGTTCAAAATAATTGTTTTCTGGTTTATTGGTCTTTACTTTCACTTGCCAGCTGCAACAGCCGTTCAAAGTTATATGCGATGTGGTAACTTCACTTAAGCTTTAAGGATAAGAGGTAAGAATGTTCAATTCAATAATTGGTCATGTTTTTACATATAGAAAAAGATGATTGCGTTACCAACTGGGGACTACTAATTCCTTCCTGCTTTATTAATTGAATATGCAGATTCTCGCATCAATAATCTCAGGAACTATACATGGTAAGATCCCTCGTGCTACAAGGTTGTTGCATCAAATTGGTGCTTCTTTTCACTGTGTTTCTAGAATGACTTCTTAGTTCTTACTGTGTTACAGATACTAGGTTATGCTTTAAGTTGTCATTTGCAATCAATTTTGGCATTGCACTCCTTGCTTCTCTCCCCCTCTCCTAGCATCTGTCGTAGTAAGAAGTCTAAAAGGGTTGCTGGTAAACTGTTCTCTTGGATTTCCTGATCGAGGGACTTATATACCTGGGATTGAACGATAGAATGCCATCCACCATCTTCTGATAAACCTGGCATTACCACTGAGGTAATCTTTGCTCTCCTGACTGTATAAACCTTTCCATGCATTTTATATCTCTGTTTATATTTTTGCAAGAGAAAATATCCACGCACACACTTTTCCATTCTAGTCATTACGTCTAGGACAGTGTCTAAGGCTTGGCAGTGCTTATGTTACGTAATGTTCATCAACATGCTTTATGTTATTAGATGCCTACGACAGGAGTGTCGTCTTGTTTTCTATCTTAGTTCAACAGAATTGTGCCGATCTTAGGGATTCATGGGGTGACCATCTCAACTCGGTTTTCTTTTTCAATTCACGATATCAAGATTTGAACACTAACTTTATTTAGGAGATCTAACCCTCTACCCAACAGACCAACTAGTAGTTGATAGTAAGTGTCCTTTCTTTTATTTATCATTTACATCATTATTAATGAAAGATTAAATAAGAGTTTATTAGTTTCATTAATTTAGTTATCTTTTATCTACAAATTCCATAATGATTCCGTCATGTATACCATTTTTGTTAATTGCCTTTTGATATCTGATTATTATTTACAGAATTGTATTTATCAGCGATGGTATGTATCAAGTTACAGCGAGATGTAATCTTTGAAGTACACCGAGATGCGTGGGAAGTTGTGCAGGCAAAATCAAGAGATCATCATCTTTTATGATCCTATATTGACAGATGACAATCATCCACAAAAACATGGCTGTTTCAACAATTGAAAACTGTGACCTTTGAATTTGTTTTGTGCCAACTCTTATGTTAAAAAGGCTTGTACTAAAATGTCTTGCAACGAGTAAGAAGCTGCGATCTCTTCTAAAATTTTAGGGTTAACTACACAATACCTATACTATCAGAAGTTTTGGTCTGTTTTAGTATCTCAACTTTTATTTTTTTTTTCAAAATTGTATCTACTATTTAGTTTTTGTTTCATTTTAGTATCTCCTTAAAAACTTAATATCAATTTTGATCTGTTCTAGTACTTAAGTTTTCAATTTTTCCCAAGACTTAATGTTAAATTTTGAACAAGGGTATTAAATGAAACAAAAATTAAAATTTAGGTATGATTTGAAAAAAAATGAAAGTTTAGGTACTAAAACTGACAATTTAGGTACAAAACTAGTAATTTACCCAAATTTTAAGTTGACGTTTTTGGTTTCTTTTAGCTTTGAGTGATTCAAACCCTCAGTCTTGGTTCATTTTACAACTTGCAACATTTAGAGATTGAATATCACCTCCTTTGGAATCCAATTCATAATATAATCTAATAGCAAATACGCTAAACTTATCAGATTTCCAAATCCAGTAGTCAACTTTTCCAGTTTTGTGAATGACAAATTAAGATAGTGTAAACTCTTCGCATTTCCAATATTGAAAGGCAACTCAATGAAGCTTTGATTACCTTTTAAATCCAGAATTCTCAAAGAAGGCATGGAGTCGAAGAATCCATCTGGGAGAAATTCCAGGGTAAGATGGTGGGTGACTGGTGTTCACTTTGGAACTAATACAACCAAAAAGGGAAATCCAGTTCCCCTCTTCCCATTTTGTGAGTTCTCGAAACTTAAGCGAATTTCATCTTAATCCAATTCAAAAAATTCGCAGAGTGATTCAATTAGTAAACATATAAAATCGAGAAAAATTAAAGACACGCGATGAATGCACCATTACAGGCCCCATCACCTAAACAGAGTGAAAGCAGTCGTCATATAGACAAAAAAATCCACTTTCCCTCAAATTCAGTACAATTCCTATTTCAGGACGTTTATAGAACTGTTCATGGATATATATGACAGCATTACCTATCAATTACGGAAAACTAACACGCAGCAATAAGCTGAAACTCAAACTCTGAGTCTTCGGGCAAGAAATTCTTTTATCATTAACTTTGGGCGTCATCTTCACAACATCTACTCAGATAAGTCCCACACTATAGTCGCAGCAACAACTACAAATAATCCGGGCCTGGGAAAATTTGTAAAAAGGTGGCAGCGTTAGTTTCACTAATAAATATTAGTTACAAAATCACACAAGAATAGTTTTTGCTTATATTAGAATCTTTCATTTATTTATTTTCCCACCGTTTGAGTTTCCAAATGCAAGAAAGTATTCTAAAATCTAAATCAACAGAAACCTAAAGAATTAAGTTAATATGTTTTAGATAGGAAGACAAGAAATTTTGTTCCATCATAGAGAAAACAACTCCTTTTAACAGATAAGCAGCAAAATCCTGTTATCAAATCATCAATCCAACATCAAGCGGGGCAAAATTCAATTCCAAAGACAGAGTTAGCAAGTATTATAGTGCAAACCCATATACCAAAGCTATGACACCAAGCTCAAGCATATGCATACCACATAGATTCTAAAGTGTTGCAAGTGGTGATCCAACATCGTTGAAGTAAGATGAGAGTTCAGCATTTGAGTCATCATACTTGTTCAAGAAAGGCAAATCCTGTATTCACATTGAAATCAGATGTGAAGCATCTTTAACATATATTTAATCAATTCTTTACTGCTTGAAAATAATGGAGCCACAGAGGAATCAAGATATTTACATACCAGCAGTTCCTGAGCCGACTTTCTCTCATTTGGGTCTTTTTTTAAACTAACATGGATAAATGAGAAAGTAATTAAAAAAATGAAGAAAAAAACCCCAAGGTTGGGCTTCGAGAACGTGTATGATCAAAACATACTATAAAATCCATCTGAAAAGAAAGTTATTACCAATCACAGAGCCTATCATTCTAGTAATGAAAGGAAATTGATAAATGATCTCCTTTGACAGAGTACTAATTCGAAGAGAACTTTTCCTCTAATACAAAACTAGCAAACTCATGAGCGCAAAAATATTCTAGAACATAAGGGAAGTGTATCAAGTAACTCAAAAAATAATCTTTACCATGCAGAGATAAACGAGTAAAACTCAGGAGAAAATTGATTTGAAGATGCACAAGGTGGTGGTTGTTCAACAATTTGTTCCATGAGCTCATAAAAATTTGTCCATCCTGCTGCCTGATCTGGAGGGGAATAAGGGAATTGACCAGTTGCACACTCGAGCAACACCAGTCCCAAGCTCCAAATGTCACTTTTATTGCCATAATTGCTACCAATAATTCTCTCAGGCTAGAAAAGAAGTGCATAGACATTAAAAGACTAATGAGTTTAGAACAAATAAGAACAACATAAAACACAGCAACTAAAAGAACAATATTTTAGTAAAATTAAATTACTTACAGACATATAGTTGTACGTGCCGACAAAAGTGTTAGCTAGTCCTAAGGTGCTCGTCATTATTACACTCACACCAAAGTCGGTGATTTTGACTTCTCCTCTGTGATTTATCAGTAAGTTGGATGGCTTTAGATCACGGTGGATAATGTGTCTTTCATGATGAAGATACATCAAACCGTTGAGCACCTGCATTAATAAGAAGAATTTCACACTGCATACCAGAACATTTGGATAGACTATTAGTGATTCAATGTTCAAATTTACAAACCTGCTTACATATCGCAGCTAGATAGGGTTCAGGAATTGATTTAACCTTTTTCAGGAAGTCTGCTAAGGATCCACCATCCATATACTCCAAGATGATTGAAATGCAGCCATTGTTATAGAAAGACTGATAACAAACAACAACATATGGACACTGGGAGGACTGGTTTATTTTCAATTCCTTTGCAATCTGCTTCCGAGCTGACTCCTCAATATTCATTTGAATAACCTAACAAAATATGGCATGTCAGAAATTAAGAGTTGCGAGGACAACACGGAGATGCAAAACTCATAAATCATTTCTATTCTAATTTATTTTTTTTAATTTTTCCGACTAGCTCCAATATTTAAAAAGCAACAACAAAATCTTTTTAGAAGAATCACTTCTATCAAATAGAGAAAGCCTGTACACGCTTCATTAATTCTTAGTTTAGCCTACAACAGTTGCCTTTCTATAACAGGAAATTGATTATAATACATTTGTCAATCAAGATTTCGGAGAGGTTATACAAATAATTCTTGCTTAACAAAAGAACATGGGAAATTATAATACAAAATACATGCGAAAAAAAAGCAGAAAATGTTGAACTCATGGAAATGTACCTTCAATGCAAAAAACTGGCCAGTCCATTTGTGTTGGACCAATTGCACAATCCCACCATTACCCTTGCCGATAACTTTAATGGCATCTATATCTTCTAAACTCAGCTGATTGTCATTGTCAACTTCTGATGCCTTAATAGGCGGAAGCTGATGCCACAGACACACACAGAAAGAACCAAATTTAGATTTTCGAAGCAAGATCTTTCTTTATTAAAAAAATCAAACAGTTTTCGTCAATTTGGTAATATCGATTTAACCAAGAGCAGTCTAGAGATACATAAAAAGTCAAAAAAATCCGAACAACGAAAAAAGACATCTAAGAAAGGGGAAAAAATTAAATTCTTACAACTTCAGGTTCGGATTGAGAGACAATTCTAACACCGTCCTTGTTGACGAGGAGATCGCCGTCTTTGAATGTGCCGCTTTCGGTTCTGCCATGAAAAGATTAATCACCAAAATCAAACTTCTAAAAAAGGAAAGTATAAACTTTGAATTATTGGCGTAATAACAATTATTACAGAAATTTGGAGAAGGAGGTCTCATCTGGAGGAGGAAGAGAGAGCTTCAAATTAGGGATTAAAGTTCCCTTTTCCTTCGGCATTTCTCTTTCGATTTCTTCTTTGTTTTAAAGCTGGTTGGATGGAAGTCGGTCTTGGTTAATCGTAAGGGCTTCGAATTGAGGGTTTTAAAGAAAGAGAGAAAGGGGGAGTTTCTTCTTCTTCTTCTTGATTTTGGAAACTGAAAGAAAATTGGTTATTGGAGAGTGATTTTATAGTTCGCAGAGAGACACATAGAGCAGCGACCAGTCTCCTCCGTTACACAGCTGGGCCTGCCTGCCTCCCCTCCCCTCCCCTCCCCTCCGTTACCCGCGCCTCTTTTTCCTAGGCTCATCATGAATTCATTATTCGATTTTAACTCAATTAATTAATTGGACTAAAATTGTGTTTGATTAATTATTAAATTAATTACTGATTAAATTTTTAAGATTTATTATTAATTAAGGGTAAACTACATAACGGTCATGGAACTTTTATGGACTTGCATTTTGGTCTCCCAACTTGTACAAATTGTAATACATTCACTAAACTTTTAGTTCATTTTCAGAGAGGTTCTTACTCATTTTTATCTGACTGACATGGAATGTTACCTCCCGTCCCCTTCTTCTCCTTCTTCTTCTTGACGATCCCAGCAACAATAAAAGATGATATGGAGCTATAAAACAACAAGGACAAGGAGACCAGATGCTTTCATTCTTCTGAAGTTAATATTTTGAGAAAAAAAGTATTATAATTATTTTGAGCAACATTTTTATTTTCTTAGTCATGCATTCAACAAGAAACACCTCTTATGCTTTGTATTGTCTGGTGTCAATACTAACTTTCTAGTCATTTGACTCTTTATCAACAAATCTTTGGATTTAGCAACCAGAAAAAAAATCCAATAACAAAACATAATGAAATTCTGTGTGTTTGAGATATGTGTTTCCAAACTGCTTGCTTCTGCTAACCCCAAAATGCTTACTGTCCTGGTTTACGCCACCGTCCAAAAAGTGTTGTTCGACCAAACAGGGAAGAGACCAAGGACAACGGGAATGGTTTTCAAGGATGAAAATGGGAACCTGCATCTGGCGTTTCTCACGAACAACCGAAGGAGTGAAGTGATTTTATCATGTGGTGCAATCGGAACTCCTCAGATGCTAATGCTCAGTGGTATTGGACCCCAGAAATTGAACATTTCAATGGTTTTGCACGATGAGTTTGTTGGCAAGGGCATGTTTGATAATCCCATGAAATCACTTTTCATCCCAAATAATCCACCGGTGGAACAGTCCCATAAACTAACCGGAGGGTTGTCATCTATGTTGGTGTTGACCATGATTTCGTCCTGACCCAAAACTTTAGCTTCATTTCTTCTCTGCACTGAATGCTGTGATACCTTAACTGAAGTCAAAGAGCGTTGAGATGCTCCATCCTGATCCGCAGTCTCATTTATATCTACAGCAAACGCTGCAGCATCTTGATTGAGAGCAGAGATGGACTGAAGGGGGTGGGTGCAGTTGCCTCACCCTAAAGTTTAAAATAGTGATACAGTTTTAGATTTTTTTCTATATATTTTTTATTGAAATCTGTTTTCACCCCTAAAATTTTAGTTTGCCCCTCAACATAAAATCTTGAGTCCGTTCTGATTGACAGTATATCTAATATATTAGTAAGGATAAAGTTATAGATTCAAGAATACTAAGAGAAGTAACAAGAATGTGTTGTTAAAGAGGAAGGTGTGAAATTCATGGTTTTTGTTGGTATAATCGTCAAGAAGAAGAAGAAGGTGTGTTAACGAGAGGTAACGTGTCACATCATATAAAACTAACGGGAGGTAACCTTTTCTAAAAACGAACAAAAAGTTCAATGAATGTATTGTAAGTGCCCTAAAAATTCGATGACCATTTATGTAGTTTACCCATTAATTATTTAGATTTAAAATTAATTAAATATTCAAAGTCATCCTATTAATCAAACATATTAAATATTATATATATTATATATATATATATATATTGTCACTCGACTATAATACAATATTTTGTTGAATTATTTGATTATTAAAAGTTACAAAACAATATCTTGATTATAAGGCATTGTTTTATCGAGTCATCCGACTATTAAAAGTTGGAAAATGATCATTCAACTATTTCTATATTTCAAAATTGTCCTCTGTATAAAAAATTGATGGTTATTTGAACTAAATGTTAACCTGCTAATCGAGAGATGACAAAATCATATTTTAATGATGTAAATTGACATCATCATTGCTTTCAAGAATTGACGACATAATGTTTCAAGTATTGGTTAGACGACATAATGTAAACGGATAGTCGATTCATAAAATATAATTCAAACGATTTTAGGATCGGATTTTATCATATCTTAGTCAATAGGTTAATATCTAAATCGTACGGTCGTCATTTTTTAAAGGAAAATGATGAGTTTGGGATATATTAATAATTTATTGACAATTTTATAGCTTTTAATAGTCGAATGAATTAATAAAACAACATAATATAATCGGGAATCATTTGTATACTTATTATTTTTAACCACATTACACCTAATAAATTTTTAAGATATAATCAAAACTGAACCTAAATGAAAAGTATATTTATATTAAACTTAAATTAATTTAATTAAAAATTTATAATCGATCAAATTAATTGAATTTTATATAATTATATTACTAATTAAAAAATTAATTCAATTAATGGTTAAAAAAATCAGTTCATCGGTTTGATTACGGATCAAATTAACCGATCTAATACTCCTAATATTTCCCATTTTTAATTGAATAAAATAATTTTTATTCCATGAACTTGACAGGCTTTTCCAACATGGTCCCTAAGTTTTTTTTTTCATGTTGGTCGAGGCCCAAAACTATAAAATGGACCATCCAATTTCCAATTCCACAAACACAAATCCCATAAATTGGAGCTCCGGAAAGTGATCAGAGGTAAAATTCAAAACCCACAAAAAAAAACCACTTGGAAAATCAACTAGCTAGGGTTCTCTTTACTGCAATGGCGAAATCAATGAAACTGGCGGGCTTAAAATCGGTGGAAAATGCTCACGACGAGTCCGTTTGGACTGCAACATGGGTTCCCGCCACCAACTCTCGCCCGCCCGTCCTCTTGACCGGGTCCCTCGACGAAACCGTTAAGCTGTGGAGGCCCGACGAGCTCGAGCTCGTTCGCACCAACACCGGCCACTGCCTCGGCGTAGTTTCGGTGGCCGCCCATCCTTCCGGCGTGATTGCCGCCTCGGCCTCGCTCGACAGTTTGGTCCGCGTGTTTGACGTTGACACCAACGCCACTATCGCTACTCTCGAAGCTCCTCCCTCTGAGGTCTGGCAAATGCAATTCAATCCCAAGGTAAGCGTTATTTTTACTCTTCAAGTGAGAAAGTAGGTTAATTCTGGAAATTGATTAATGTATTAATTTATGCAAATGAATTGTTTATTCAAATGAAACAGATTCAGATTGATTTATGGTTTATCAATACCTCGAATAGAGTCTAAATAGAGTAGCGCAGGAAAAATTGAGTCTTCCTTTGTAATGAATGATATTGTTCATTTTAAGGGTAACCTTTACCATTGGAACATTACATTAAATGAAGTTAAGTTTGGTAATTGGTAAGGTAAGCTCTTTCCAACATGTTATATAAAACATCCTGAGAATCTCACGTTAACAAAATTATCTGAAATGAGTTTGTATTTGCTACTTTTTTTGTGTGTGTGTGTAAATTCTCTCTTTTGGTCTTCGTCGAGGAGCTGACCTGGGATTCATTGGTGAACTGTTAACATCTTTTTGGTTTTCTGGTAGTCTTAGTCTTATTTTGGATATCATCTCTACTATTTACGAGGAATGATTTTCTCGATGATAACTTCTGATTTAGGTGCTATGGTACGGTCTAGTGTTTTTCTTCCAAATATGTTTTGGGTGGTTTTCTAAGCTTATCTTTCAAAATTAGGGTACGACACTTGCTGTTTCTGGTGGAGGTAGTGCATCAATCAAGTTGTGGGACACTGCAACATGGAGGTTGGTTTCAACTTTATCGGTCCCTCGTCCTGAAGGAGCCAAGCCCTCCGATAAAAGCAGCAACAAGAAGTTTGTACTCTCTGTTGCATGGAGTCCGGATGGAAGACGACTTGCTTGCGGCTCAATGGATGGCACAATTTCTGTTTTTGACATAGCTCGTGCCAAATTTCTACATCACCTTGAAGGCCATTACATGCCTGTTAGGTCGCTTGTGTTTTCTCCTGAACCAGATGGGCGGAAGCTATACTCGGCTTCAGATGACGGTCATGTGCACATCTATGATGCTGAGGGAAAAGCTATTATTGGGGCAATGTCTGGTCATTCTGGCTGGGTGTTGAGTGTGGATGTAAGTCCCGATGGAGAGGCTATTGCGACTGGCTCAAGTGATAAAACCGTAAGACTATGGGATTTTAGGATGAGAGCAGCTATACAGACAATGAGCAATCACTCAGACCAGGTCTGGGCAGTGGCGTTTCGACCTAGTGGTGGGGGTCGTCTTGCCAGTGTGTCGGACGACAAGAGTATATCACTGTATCATTGTTCCTAACATGATTAGCTTTATGAAACTTGGCTTTAGATTATGTACTGTTTATTTGTTTTCAGCCATGAAGAAACCTGTCCTGTGATTTTCGCTTTGTTTTTTTCTGGGAACATCATTGAATGCCTACTGTTGAGCATTTATTGAATAACTTTTGAACTTCAGACTAAAATATGTGACTAACAGATGATTTTGGTGCTGAGTAAAGCAATCTAGATCAAAATTTACATGATAAAACCACAAGCAAAATCAAGCATGCCAAATGCTCCACTTAGAGTTGTAGAGCTTTATTTTCCAAATCCTTCTTGAGCACATCCATAATGAGATCTTCCTTCACTTGCACTGGCGAATTAGTGTTTTAGAGCTCCAACTAGGAACAAAGTGAAAAAAAGAGTAAAATATTAGGACTGAAATCACTATTATATATTTATCTATGATAAGGCACTTAGTTGAGCAGATTTAAAACTTCTACTTTCAACCATGTATAAAGGTGAGGCCCTTATTTTAGCATATGAGAACATCATATCCTTAATCCCGATTGTTTTTTGAAAATATTAGACCCTTATTTGGTTATTTAAAAATATTGGACCGTTTTTTAAGCATATGAGAACATCAAACCCTTAATTTCAACCATTTTAAAGATATTAGACCTTTATTTGACTGTTTTGAAATGTTAGATCCTTGTTTGAACATTCAGCCATAAAAAATGTAGTCTAATGCAATAATAGATAGTGGAGTAACTACGAAAAATTAGAAAAATGTAGGATCTCGAAAAGCAATAAAGCAAAGACAAAGGGACCACCAACGACAAATACTGAAAATGCCATGCATAAACTAATTAACCGTAAATATAATACTTTCGCGTAGTTTCATTTTGAAATGTTGGATAGCAAAAGAAGGCAGCGGCAATTCAGAGAACGAAACGGGACATCGGCCCGCCTTTCAGCTTCTGATGTTTCTCTTTTGGCGCTTTTTTTTCATATTTTCTTTTTGTTGAATCGAATGTTTTGTTGTTGTTGATGAATTTGGATAGGGAAAGGCTGAAGGGAGGCTATTTATTAAACGAATAAACCAGGGGTCTGATTGGGAAATTTTGCTCTCTGGAAAGCTGCATTTGGTATTTTATTTTAATTTAATTTCTGTGTTCAATACAGAATTCATTCATTTCATTTTGTGTTTGTTAGATTTGTTTTTGTTTAATGAATTTTGGAATAACAGATTTATGTATTTATTTATTGGTTTTGATCCCATGCGTAAAAGAGATGATGTTGGCCAAAGTCGAAAATAGGAAGAAGAATGGTGGAGAATCATGTAAGTTGTTGAATGAAATTGAAGTTACTAGCTAAGCATTGTATTTGGACTAGAATCCTCCATGGAATTCTTTTATGATTCTAATTCTCGTTCCAAATCAGTCACGAAAACCCGCCATTTGGAGCCGAAAGGAAGGATTAAGAACGCTGATGAGAATCCATCACCACGTAGAGACAAGAAATTCTTTTGGAGCTGGAAGGCGTTAAAAGCATTTTCGAATGATAAAAGCCGTAAGTTTACTTGTTGTTTCACACTTCAAGTACACTCTATTGAAGATTTGCCGGTCAGTTTTAAAGAACTTAGTCTATGCGTGCATTGGAAGAGGCGGGAAGAGGATCGACTGACTCATCCTGTTAAAGTTTTTGATGGAACTGCAAAATTCGAAGAGAAGTTAATGATTACTTGCTCCGTATATGGTACTAAAGGTAGACCTCACAATTCAGTTAAGTATGAGGAAATGCATTGTTCGCTTTATGCTTCCGTGTTCGGAGCACCGGACCTTGATTTGGGGAAGCATCAAGTTGACCTTACGCGGTTTCTTCCTCTCACATGGGAGGAATTGGAGGAAGAGAAGAGCTCAGGGAAGTGGACAACAAGTTTTAAGTTATCAGGGAAGGCCAAGGGTGCTGTAATGAATGTCAGTTTTGGCTATATGGTTTTGTCTGATATGAAGCAGAGTAGAAAAACGGGTAGTAATGATGATCAGAAGAGCACAATGAGGGCTGTTGAGAGTCTTCCCTGTTTTCCTAGCACCACATCCTTATCTCTCTTTATGGAGGAGATGAAAGAACTTAATGATATTCTGCCTGCATCAAAGTCGGACACCGACGATGCAAATGTGGTAGATAGGAAATTTGATGAATACAAGTCTGATGATGCTTTAATTGCTTCTAAGCGTGAACCTGATGTGTTGGTTGAACATTTTGAGCCTACCTTACCTCCATCTTCTGTTGCATCTGAATTAAATGCGTACATAGAGAAAGAAACCAAAGAAGATGATTTTTCTTTTGTGGGAAAGGGGAAAGAATTATCTTCACAAGAACAGGTTAGGTCGGAGGAGGGTTCCATGGTGGCTGTTATATCCAAAGTAGAAAGTAATCAAAATTTTGAAACTAATCCCGGCATGGGTGTAAATTCTGAAGATTCCTACGAGCTTTGTCCCTTAAATGAGGTCAATTGTGTTAATCCAGACACGCTTGTGGTGCAAGATTGCAATTCCAAAGTGTATGACCAAGTCTCAAAAGAATCACTGATGAGAGAGTTGGAGATAGCTTTAGATGGCATTACAAATTTGGAGGCAGCATTAGATTCTCCTGATCATGAAGACTTGGAAGACTACATGGAGCACAATGCTAATTATGAAACAAATAGAAAGTCATCTATTAGCTTGGATGAAGTTACTGAATCTGTGGCAAATGAGTTCTTGAGTATGCTTGGAATTGATCGGAGTCCATTCAGCTGGAGTTCTGAGAGTGAGCCCGAGTCACCAAGGGAGCGTTTACTAAGGCAGTTTGAGAAAGAGACCCTAGCCAGTGGTTGGTCATTATTTGATTTTGGCATGACTGATAGGGAGGAAATAGAATGTGGTTCCGACATCTCTACTCCGTGGAATTCGAGTGGGATTTGGGATATGTCATTTGTTGTTCAAGATGCTGTGCAAGAGCATCGGATGGAAACTAATGGGAGGATCAAAGTGAGGGCTAAAGTTTTGGAAGACTTGGAGACAGAAGCTTTAATGCATGACTGGGGATTGAATGAGAATGCTTTCCAGCATTCTCCACCTCGTTCTTCTGTTGGCCTTGGAAGTCCATTTAAATTGCCTCTGGGAGAGCCACTTGATCTTCCCCCTCTTGGAAATGGTTTAGGTCCATTGCTTCAAAAAAAAAACGGTGGGTTTCTACGATCTATGAATCCCTCGCTTTTCAGGAACTCTAAAATTGGTGGGAGCCTGATCATGCAAGTGTCTAGTCCAGTTGTGGTGCCTGCAGAAATGGGTCCTAGTGTAATGGACGTACTTCAACGACTGGCCTCAATTGGGATTGAAAAGCTCTCACTGCAGGCAAATAAGTTGATGCCTTTGGAGGATATAACCGGTAAGACTATGCACCAAATTGCTTGCGAAGCTGCCTCCACTCTGAAGGGATCACAGAGGTTTGTGAGCTCATTTTTCTTTGGTTTCCTGCCATTTATTTCCATGATAAACTTCGTTTGTGAAACCATACTGATATTATATGCTAGTGCTTCTTCTGTGCAGCCAGTTTTTGTTGCAGCATGATTCTGAGGTTGGGGAAAAGAAAATCAAAATATCACATGTACCCAGATCTAACATGCTTAGTTCATCCTCTGTCAATGAGATGAGTTCGGAACATGTATCCCTTGAAGATCTTGCTCCCTTGGCAATGGATAAGATTGAAGCACTCTCAATGGAAGGGTTGAGAATTCAATCTGGCATGTCTGACGAGGATGCACCTTCAAGCATCAGTGCGCAGTCTATTGGGGAAATTTCGGCACTTAAGGGTAAGGGATTTGGTATTACCGGATTCCTTCGCCTGGAGGGAACTGCTGGGTTGCAATTGTTGGACATAAAAGACAGTGGTGATGATGTTGATGGATTGATGGGCCTGTCACTGACGCTTGATGAATGGATAAGACTTGATTCTGGGGATTTTGGTGATGAAGATCAACCAAGCAAGCTTTCTAAAATCCTTGCTGCTCATCATGCTACATCATTAGACTTGATATGCAGAGGGTCGAAGGAAGAGAAAAGACGGAGTAGAAAGTGTGGTTTTTTAGGGAATAACTTCACGGTCGCATTGATGGTGCAACTTCACAATCCTATAAGAAACTATGAGCCAGTTGGTGCACCAATGCTTGCTTTGATTCAAGTGGAGAGAGTATTTGACCTACCAATGCCAAAGATATACTGTAATATTTCGGCTGCTTTGAAGAAAAACAATCAAGAGGATGATGACTCTAAGTATGCTTTGAAGAAGCAGATGAAAATGGAGGATATGAAAGAGGAAAACAGTTCCCAAGAGAAAGAGCCTCAATTCAGAATCATAGAAGTCCATGTTGCAGGTTTGAAGACTGAGCCTGGCAAGTCAAAACTTTGGGGTACCACGACCCAACAACAGTCTGGTTCTCGATGGTTGCTTGCCAATGGAATGGGAAAGAGCTATAAACATAGCCCATTCGCGTCCAGTTTCGCTTCTAAGCCTTCAATCCGTTCAACAACAAAGGTTCAGCCAGGTGACACTTTGTGGAGCATCTCGTCCCATATCCATGGTACTGGAGCCAAATGGAAAGAATTGGCAGCTCCCAATCCGCATATTCGAAACCCTAATATCATATTCCCTAAATAGACTATCAGATTGCGATGAGTTGTTCATGCAATGAAATCTGCTTGAAAGGATTAGCTGCTCCTAAACTTGGTGTGACTGTTGGTGAGCCATTTTATACAGCTCTGAGATTACACGGTTGGTAAGCTTGCTTGTGGCCTTGTGGGGATTTTCATGCATTTATTTTGAATGTGTTAATTCATGCAATTCAACCCTAAAGCACAGGTGCGGTTACATTATCATTCTGATCTTGTAAATTTATATATTTTGGTGATCAAGAATGCATGGTGTAATTTATGTCTTATTTAGTGCAGTTGTGTTCTGTCTCATTTGTCCCTTCATGCTGCTTCTATCTTACACATCTTCATTCTCATTGTCTATTTCTTTATCAGTTGAATGGTTCTGCATTTTTTTCCTTGAGAAACCCATACTTTCTAAGAGCCCATAAGTTCATACGAACTACATTTCCTACGAAAACAACCCCATAAGTCCCAACCATGCCAGCACCGATATCT